ACTGCAGGGTTTTTAGACTTTAATGAAGGATTTTCAACATTGTTGATACCAAGGACCCTCAAATATGATCCCATTGCTGATGAAACAGCACAAAACACTTTTTAATGTGGGCAAAGTAGGATCTAAATCAATGCAAGTTACCTCACGGTTGCAACATACTGTAGGTTCATTGAAAAAACGTGACTCTACCTATATATTTTTGCAAAACTCCAAAAACATTCATATACATACAGTTCACTACAGTTTCCAGCTGAAATGAAAACTAGTTGCAGTAAAACTTTTTTTTGTTGTTGCTTTTTCACACAAATTATGCTTACAGTGGCTATTTAGGCCTACTGATTAATACAACTTCACACATTTTCACAATACTATGTTATGACTTCAAAACATTTTACCACAGTGCATGATATGTAAACTAATACATTTTGATGTAACCGTCACATAACCCGCTCCACTTGTATGGCTTTTCTGATGTAGTAAACTTGCTCAGTTGCTCACCTGGTACAGTATTGTACTTGCGATGTGGATCGCTCAGGTATGAGTCCCATGACTTGTTATCAAGTCCCGACACTCAATAAAAGACCTCAAAGACTAGCAGAAGATCAAATGGCATGGCTGTTCCAGTAAATGTGTTTTTATCTCACGTTTGCTTTTGTTAATATTGTCAGTTAGGTTTAGGCTAGGGTCACTGGACATTTCTCTTGAACATGCCAAAAAACCTGTAAGTAGCAGCGTAATATTTTTCAGAAATGTCATCAGACACATTTTATCAGTGTTATTAAATGAGTCTGGGTAGATATCTTATCGGTGTTTGGTGATGATATGCCAAATCCTGTGATGTTATGTCCAAATGCATTTAGACCACTCTGAAATTACTGGTCAACTTATTTTATCAACTAATTGCTGTTTGCTGGCACTAAAATGTTAATGTTTATGTTGTTTAAAAAACTGTGCTAGCTAGCTAGGAAAATATATTTACAAAAATATGACAGTGATTTACTCCATGAACATTATTTATGTAGCATATGGTTATTACTCATTTGCTCATCTTAAACAACTTGAGACTTGGCTCAAATCTTTTTCATCCTCAAAAACTCCAGGGAAGTCTGTAAATGGGTCTCATTAACTGTGGGTTGGTGAAGACTGATGGTTATGTGTTAAATGCAATGAAATGCAACATAGATGAAAGTCAGTCAGAGATGTCTGTGTGTGCTTCTCAAGGAAGGATTTGTGGCAATATTTTACTCTCATGCAAGAGTTTTCAAACTTTTTTGATGCCAGGAACTGTGAGGCCCCCTTCCTAAAATAAAGGCATCTATACAGAAAGAGTGGATGATATTATAAAGACAATATGTGCGTGATGATTTGATTTTATACTGTCATTGTATTAAGGCCATCATTTACATACCAAAATATTTTTACTGACAATGTATCAGTTGTATTGTTAAATATATAAGATATTTTTAGATATATAAACCTGAAGACAAACATTTTCAGTTTTTTAAATATGCAGAGCCCTTTTCAAAATCATTTTGTCAGTCCGTTTTTTTTAACCCACAGACTTCCTAGCACCCCCTGTGGCCCCCTAGGATCCCAATTTGGCTTTTTGGTTGCATGGGGTTGGTATTGCAAGCACTGATATTTTATTATTGCATTGAGATAAATGAAAAAACAAAACAAAAAACAAATGTTTATTATTTCGATACATTGATATTTGATTGCGTTGGCACACATTTGAACTCCAACAGTATATAAGCATATAGCTGAAAATGCATATAGTGTTAGGTCTGGATTTGGATTTTTTATTCTAAAGTCATAAAGTGAAGACAGTTCACTAGCATTCATTCAATCATCAAATCACTCCATAGAATGTACAGCCTACCACATTGGCTCTTTTTTATCAGACATGCTTCTTATCAGTAATAACTGTAAGCAATTTAGCACTAGTAGTGCAACCGAACGTGACAGGTAGTTTGAATGAGATTAGTGGAGAAAAGGAAGTATTTCTTGGCAGCATTTCTCTCTGCAACCTGCTGCTTCTGCAGGACAGAGTCGATAACGGCTGCACAGCCCATCCCAACGTATCATCAGATATCCACCATCTGTGGATGGTGCACCTAAAATATACACCTAAAAAATGTATTTAGTCTACTTTCAGCTAAATTGACTAAATTGAGTTGTAATATCATGTCAAGCATGACCGATTCCATTAAGGAAAGTCATTCTCTTTTAAATTTTACAGTCTAGTTTGCAATAATAAACAACACAATGTAAGCTATTCTATTAATTCAGTTCACATACAATTTTCTTCTGTACTTAATCAGGTTGTTATATAGTAAATGTCTATTGTTGATCCTTGCTGTATTGATGTTGTGCATTTTCTCTCCTTCTCAATTCTATACAATAGGAACTGCAAAATTAGTTCATTAAAATGCAAAATTGCTTTTCCTCAAGGTAAATGCGTTGAAAGACAGAGTATATAAAGTGCAACATCTAGTGTATAGCCAATAGCAAAGTTAATCACCTTATTTCACCAGATTTTAAGAGAATAGATGGACACAGGCTGGTTTGGCTCTATCTAAATGTTGTTTGTCTGAGAATGACATATTTTCATCTGAGAAAGATTCAGAGAACAGGCTGCTCGGCTATATCTGGAAAGTGACTCATCTGCAGTACTTTCAATCACTCTCACCTCAAATCCTGACGGCAACAGATCAATTTACACCTTTCAAGGCAAAGTACAAAGTACTCAGAGTAATAAGAAGTCCCAGAAGTTCAGTGTGTAGTAGGATTAAAAGTAGGAAAAAACGATTTGTTGAAATCTGGACTGCACAGTCCCGGATACATTCCGTGCATTTGAAAGCTATGCCGAATGCAACACATCCACTATTTTAATCGCAAAAACCATAGCTTATATATTCTGCTTTCTCTGGTATATTTCTTTTGGCTTCATTCTCTGAATATGTGTCGTATGATTTCACAGGAGTCATTCTGCATGTCATTGAGCGCATCAAACTGTGTGAAATCAGATAATGTCCTTCCCTGCTCTGCTGACACGGAGCCCATTGCCTGCTGGGACTCAGCAAGGTCAATTAGCCATGCTGATTCTTCAACAGCCGGCACAAACACAGACCATTATCAGTAATGGAGTTTCTCACCAGAGTCTGTTTGCATTGCACTGACCAGCAGGGTAACCGGTTGCATGTTGGTTTTGTTTGCCACTTCCTCTCTCTTTCTTTCACTCACTCATTCTTCCTCTTATATGAAGAGAAAATGTGGGGATAGTGAAGAGACTTAGTTGATCAAATCAGTGTGTCTACGGCCTGTGATACTGAGGAAAGGGTACCTTTAAGCCAAAGCCATCTAACACTTAGACATTTTTCCCTGAGGAACTAAACCATGGGTCAATAAGAGCAGCAAAATTAACCACAAGTGTTGCTTTCTCTCATGGCTGATGATTAGAAAACAGCCCACAGTCCTGATAACGGTTAATTTAGACCAGAGAGATGAGTAGACCATTAGAGCAAAAGAGCGACAGTATAGCATGAAATGCTGCTTTTGATTTTTATGACTGTGATAGAAAGATAAATTAGTTTTATTATTAAAAATGACCAAGATAGCAGATGAGCTTTATAATTATAGTTGCAGCAAAGTATGCAAAATGGCATGATTCAGTTCACAATGCATAGAGAGATGTATAAGAAATAAATTACCAGTTTAAATTCTAGAAGCATACAAATATTTTGAGCTTTCTGTATTCCATTCATAAGCATGAGTTGTTTGTCAAACCAATAAGCAGCTACTAGCAAGGAATATGTGTGTTATAGGGGTGTTGAAATTAATAGTTTCTATGATGCATCGCGATGCAGACGAGGACGATTCGGTATCGGTTCAGTAATAGACCATAACCGATTATAAGGTACTGACGCTTTTCTGACGTCATTTGTCGTGGTAGTATAAGGCCCGGGTATACTTAACTTTCCGCGTTCCGTCCTGCACACAGCCACATCCGCACAGCTTTCAAAGTATACTCAACTGACACATGCGCAGTACCACCTACTTGCGCTCTGTCTCAACAGTCACCTCACGCATACGCTGTTGTACGCGCATCGTTCGCGCGGTTTCAAAAAAATTGCCTACACGCAGACAGGGTGCGCGGCTGTCCGCATATCGGTTCAGTAATAGACCATAACCGATTATAAGGTACTGACGCTTTTCTGACGTCATTTGTCGTGGTAGTATAAGGCCCGGGTATACTTAACTTTCCGCGTTCCGTCCTGCACACAGCCACATCCGCACAGCTTTCAAAGTATACTCAACTGACACATGCGCAGTACCACCTACTTGACTTGCGCTCTGTCTCAACAGTCACCTCACGCATACGCTGTTGTACGCGCATCGTTCGCGCGGTTTCAAAAAAATTGCCTACACGCAGACTGGGTGCGCGGCTGTCCGCGGGCCCATAATAATAATAATATCTTATCAGTGTTATTGTTAGTTTTTTACAGGAACACGGAATGACCAAAAAAAAGTTTTAATTCTAATTACTAAACTTTGAGTTGAATTACTGAAATAAATGAACTTTTCCACGACATTCTAATTTATTGAGATGCACCTGTATACTTTGGCCTTTAGGCGCGTTCGGCTTGAAGCGCCGCTGCGCAGGATGAGTGTATGACATCAAGTACCGCGAGAGCGATAAGAGAGCAGACGGATCCTTATGCTTTCGAATCGCTCTCGCGGTTGATGTCATACACTCAGGCCCACTTACTGCAGGGCCCCCCGTCTCAATAATGATATAGCTTTGTTAGTAAAATAACAATTGGTCCCTCGATATCTCTTTGCCGCCTGGAAAAATTCTTGTGCACTGATTTTTCTAGAATAACTTTTGCTGCCGAATTATCCACTAACCTAGTTTATAATTTTTTGTCATAGATTATAAATATACATAGGCCTATATTTTTTCATATTTGTTTATTTTATTTTTCTTTATAATGAAGTAGTCTGTATCTAGTAGATTGTGAAAGAATGATTATCAGTTCCACACACAGAGATATATAAATTCTACATTTATTTAAATGAGGGAAAAAAACTTCACTGGTATCGGATCGGAATCGGTATCGGCCAATACTGAACCCTAGGTATCGGAATCGGTATTCGAAGCGAAAAAGGCGGATCGGAGCATCCCTATTCCATACCACCTCAGCAGTGCCACAAACTGATCACCTCCATGCCACGCCGAATTGAGGCAGTAATTAAAGCAAAAGGCCCCTACCAAGTATTGAGTACATGTACAGTAAATGAACATACTTTCCAGAAGGCCAACAATTCACTAAAAATGTAGTGAAAAATGAAAGTATTCTAATTTGTTGAGATAGTGAATTGGTGGGTTTTTGTTAAATGTGAGCCAAAATTCTCAGTCCCTCAAAGTGTATAACGGCCGGGAAGCAAGAAAACACACATTCAATGTATTCTCAATACTTCAATTTTATTCATAGAAACAAAGATATTATATAGGCATATGTCGAGGGGAGTTTCAACCCTTTAACCAATGAGGATATGGATGACATACATACTGTATAGGATCTTTGGCCAAGAACATGTGTTTATATAAAATGGCCACATGTACAGAAAAACATGGACATATTAGGAATAGACTTTGGCGAAGGATGCTGAACTCGCTTCATAGTTCATCACGAACTCCTTTACCTTGTAGTCCTAGCCTTCAGCTCCTTATTTGAGCATTTGAACCAAGAAAAGCTAATGCATACATGTGCGCATGCGTACCTCGAATATGAGTAAGAGACATGAAAACATCATACAAGAGAGAGAGAGCAGATCAGATGGAGGAGGATTCAGAGAGAAAACAACAGAGCTGTACAGGGAGGGCGAGTGAGAGAGAGGAAAAAAGAAAAGGAGGGGTGAAAACATCTAGAACAAATATCAAGACAGAGAGTGTTTTCTAACAAGCTTAAAATAGGATTTTTATCCAATCGAAGTTTCATAATTCTTGTTACCAATTCCAATATCTCAAAAAAAAAAATTATAATAATAATAATAAAAATATATAAAACTGGTAACCAAACAGTTTCTGTGCCCCAATGACTTCCATAGTATAAAAAAAAACACTATTGGAGTCAACAAGGACCAGCAACTTTCTGGTGGTTACGAATATTCTTCAAAATATCTTATTTTATGTTGAGGAGAACAAAGTAAATTAAAATAGAATTCATACAGGTTCAGAACAACTTGAAACTGAGTAAATGATGACAGTATTTACATTTTTGGGTGAACTATATCCCTTTAAAATCTCACCATATAATGCCAGGATCGCATAACAGCCAACTAGTGCACATGCTTTATCTTTAACTAATAACGTTCATCTAAGACACAAATAACTGAGTTGACGAGGTCGGAGACAGGCATTTAGACACATAACTATGTGTGTTCGAACGTTTAAACACAAGGCGCGAAAAATAACTCGAGCAAGTGTGCTCCCCGCGTATCAGAACAGTTTCATAATTCTTGTTACCAATTCCAATATCTCAAAAAAAAAATTATAATAATAATAATAAAAATATATAAAACTGGTAACCAAACAGTTTCTGTGCCCCAATGACTTCCATAGTATAAAAAAAAACACTATTGGAGTCAACAAGGACCAGCAACTTTCTGGTGGTTACGAATATTCTTCTTATTTTATTATTTTATGTTGAGGAGAACAAAGTAAATTAAAATAGAATTCATACAGGTTCAGAACAACTTGAAACTGATGACAGTATTTACATTTTTGGGTGAACTATATCCCTTTAAAATCTCACCATATAATGCCAGGATCGCATAACAGCCAACTAGTGCACATGCTTTATCTTTAACTAATAACGTTCATCTAAGACACAAATAACTGAGTTGACGAGGTCGGAGACAGGCATTTAGACACATAACTATGTGTGTTCGAACGTTTAAACACAAGGCGCGAAAAATAACTCGAGCAAGTGTGCTCCCCGCGTATCAGAACCCGTCTTAACGCGCGCATTTGCCAAAATGAATTCTGCCCCACTGCTTAATGCCCCTGAACAGTTAAATTAGTTTTTAAACCACAATGCTTAAAATGCGTTTAAATGAAAAGCTTACATCATGAGCGCAAAATTAATTTCTCAACCCATAAGCGAATACTAGCCCTATAGAGTTTGTTCAAACACAAAAAGCACTATACATCTATCAAGTTAATAATCAAACTAACCTAAAATCTGTGGGGATGATGACGCTGTGTTTTTATCTGCTCCATGTGTCCGGTCCATTTGCGGGTCCACAACTCCCACTCCATCATCAGCTTTAGTAATATAAAGCTGTGGATTTTAGTGACAAACTCATGTTTTCCCCTCTCTCCTCATTTTTTTCTCTCACAATTTTTTTTATTTATTTATTTTTTAGAATAGTTGACATTTTTACTTATCGAAGTTTGCATGACCGTTTCTAGATTACACGAGAATGAAGTGAAGAGACGTGAATGCAGACATTAGGCGCAGCGATCACCTGATAGATATGCTACGTGCAAAATATATAATAAATGCATTTGATTGGTAAAACAAATTCAAATGTGCCGCTTTAATCTCTAATGGTAATGCATGGAATTTACGGAAAACTCCACTAAATAATAGCGCTAAAAAGTGAGGGGCGTGGTGGGGCTTTGGCGATCGGCGCTACCGATGTCCGTCAATCTACTCCACAGCCAGTCACGGGCCCCCTCCTTGCTTGGGTCCCGTGGCTTCAGCCCCGCCTAGCCCAATGGTTAATGCGGACCTGCATACACTCATCCTGTGCAGCACAGCTTCAAATCGAACGCGCCTAATGGAAACGCGAGTGCGAGCAATTAAAAATGCTCCAACTAATTTAAAAGCCGACATCTGGGCACATTTCGGCTTTTATGAACAACCTGGTAAGCACGACCTGGAGAAGACACACGTTGTGTGTAAATCATGTCACGCACAATAAAATATGCAGGGGGTAATACCACTAACTTGAGAAACCACTCAGGTACAGTTCATATATCTGACTATCTTGTATACATGTTAAGTAAAATTGAACATTGAGGATGCAGTGCATCGTCAGTGCATTGTGATGCATCATGATATCGAATTGAACCGAATCGATGACATGATAATCATAACCGAACCGAACCATGTAGGTAGTGTAGGTTCACACCCCTAGTGTGTTAATCTATGAAAACAATTATCAACATCTCACTGCAATGAGAAACCCTCCTTTACAACTGCATATGAATAAGTCTAGAACAACAGGACTCTGAGAGTGAATCATGCCTCTCTGTTATACTACAGTGATTGAAAATGAAATTGGAGGACTTCAGCATCAATAGCACTGTAATATTGTTGGTGTGTTCATCTTCTTGCCAGGACAACTGTTTTGTACACTGCAATGGATTATAAGATAATAAACATGTAAGACACATTCACCTCAAATCAATATCCCATCAATTACCCTTTATGTGTTAAAAACCCATGTAATAAGTGATATGACTGTACCTTATCGCTTAAATGTTCATCTAGTTCGAACTTGTCCATTCATCTTGGCTAAAAGCTGCTTGCTAACAACTGTTTTTTTTTTCATGGAAGCTTTGCGTTTAGTGAGCAAATAAAAAAAAAATTCATATCAAATCAATATTTTGTGCCCAATCATTCGCTTATTTGGGAAGTAAGAGGGATAATGTACTGTACATCCAGCTGGTTGTGTTATTGCAAAATAAACCCCTTCAGGGTTTATATTATGATAACAGCTAGCTGAATGTACTGTACTTTATCCCTTACTTAGTAAACCCAACTGCATATATTCACATATATACAGTAGGCTATACTTATGAAATTTCTATATGCTATATAGCAAATCTCAACTGCTTGATTGTTTATATCATTGCATCACATTTTTTTAACACTAAGAAATTTAAATTTTACAGCATCCCACCCAAATTAAATAATCACTGCAAAAAGATACGTGGCAACTCATGCAGTGTTGTGAATAATGACCAAAACAATATCAATCAAATAACAGCTGACTGGATGTGAGCACCTATTTTCTACACTGTAGTTTTTCTCCCACACATTCACAAGTGTTACATTTTTTATAGGCCTATGAACTTAGTGGCCTTGTATGGCACATATTCTCCATTCAGCAAAATGAAATGTTGCAGAGAATAAGGATCAGTGTTTTTGTACACTGCTAAAAACACAGTGCAAATACAGGTTGTATTTTGTCATCAGCATAATTTTCTCATTTCATGTACTGTTGATGAACAGTAATAAAGCTTGCCAGAAAATGCTCATTTATCCGGTTTGTGATTTCACATGATTCTCTGTGGAAGCATTGATAAAGCATCAATTCCACACCTAACATGCATTGTTTGATCTTCATTTAGTTGCACTCGCACTAAAAGCTTCCTGTGTTCGCCACTGAGTGAAAAACAGAGAAAACACATAAAATTGCCCAATACATCTATTTTTCCAGCAAAAATCACTTGAACGCCCATCATAGTGTAATGACTTCCAAAGTACAAACCTCCAAGGAAAGGCCGTTCCACTGTTTTAAAGCTGAGCTTCTCATCTCAAAAATAAGAGAGTAATCAGGACATTTTTAGGAACCCACTTTCCTCATGTACAAACAGAGAGGACATAGCTAACGCTTCACAAAACATCATGTGGGAAGCCTGGGAAAAGGAGGATAAGACTTTCGAAAAACTAGCAGAGAAAGAGCAAAAGAAAGTTAAGAGATAGCATGAGAGCAATGTCATACGAAGGAGGCTCAATGAATATTCATGTTTCTCAGTCTTCAATGGGACTTCAACATCATAGACTTCCCATTCCTGCTTCTTTTAGCTCTTTTCCAGCTGATAAGCATCTCCCAACTCTAGCCCATCCCCAACGGTTGCCACAGAGACTACCAGTCACTCCTGAGCAGTAATCCGCTGCTTCAAGAGGAGGCTGGGGGGCCTGAGCCCCCCTCTCGCCCCAAGCTTCCTGATCCAAGCTCTAATTCCGCGTGTAATTTCATTAAAGTGAAGCGCATCTGCTTACCCCAGGAGAAACTGTTCTGGAAATGATTTGGGGCCCTTACATGTGTATCGCTCCTGTGATATGCACACACACTCTCTTAATTATATTGTCATGCAAAACGGATGAGAAAAAGAAAGCACCTGGCCTACTTCATAAAAACTACATGCTTTGTGTTGAACAAAAGGCATTCTTGCTTTTGTTGAAAGAATCGTATAGGTAAAAATGGCACTGGACAGGTTTGTCGCTCTCTTCACACTGCAGTGCTCGGTTTGTATCGACTTTGGACTCTGAGCATCTCCTGCTCCAGATGAACACTGAGGTGAGGGGGCTATAGACCCAATGTAGAGCTTCCACATCTGATTGCTTCACAGGAAGCCATGTCTCAACCCACACAGCAAAACTACCAGCGAGGTCTCCCACACTTACTCCTCATATTCAGTCTGTAACCATGACGACTGCCTGCACCATCATTGTGTAAATCTATTTTTTTTTCTTAAGAGCTTTTGATTTCCAAACTGCACGTCATAAAAATGAGAGCTGATAAGGAGAGGATGTGCTCTTCTGCTGTATCATTGAGGCTAAGTGTACACTTGCTCTGTTCTAAACATAGTGTGCTGCCATTCGAGGCAGCATTTTAAGATACTTTATTTTGACTACATCTATCTATGTATCTATCTATCTATTATAAGTATTTTAACCAAAATAGGTATTGCACGTTCACTCCATGCCATAATTACTGTATCTAGATGACAGCCTGGGATGCTCTACTCAGAGCTGTTCATGTCCTTGGTATTATGCATTTCTATGGCAACACTATTAAGACCAAAATGAATGTGTAATTTAAATAATCAATTGACAGTTTCACAATATAACAAGTAATCCAAATGTCTTACTAATAAACAAAGTTTATTTAACATGACATTAGATAGTTATACCCAGTAGCGGTTTTTGGCACGGGCGAACCGGGCAGTCGCCCGGGGCGGCATTTTTTCATGATACATAGGGGGCGGCACAAGCACTTAAAAAAAAAATACTCTGCGCCGCCGCCGCGAAGCAGTTTTCTATTATCTATCATTTCACATTTCACAAAACTCTGCAGGGCTGCGGCTCTCCAGGACAGACGTTCGCCACCCCTGCTATAGAGCAATACTCTAATTGAATTAGTGGGCTAAAGTCAGTCACACCTCGACTTTCTTCCAAATAACGCACATTTCATTCATATTATAATTTAAATCGGACTACTTTTCAAATTGTATTTCATAAACCAACATCTCTGATCATGATTTGGACAGTAGAGAGCTTGTGCAGGAAATTAAGAACTTCCCTGACCTGCCATCAAAGACCATGAGCCTCCTTGAGCTTATCACTTTTATGCATGATAAGGATCTATTGGAGATCTACCCCAACTTTTGGACTGCTCTTAGGATTGCACTTACTCTGCCAGTCACTGTGGCTCAAGCAGAGAGGAGCTTTTCAAAACTAAAGTTGATCAAGTCGTACCTGAGGTCAACCATGTCCTAGGAACGGCTCACTGGCTTTGCCGTCATCAGTATCAATCACTCAATAGAGGAGCAGATTTCATACGATGACATCATTGATGATTTTGCATCAAGGAAGGCCAGAAAGGTCAGGTTTTAGTTTTAGTTTTCTGTTCTTAGTGCAATGTGTCATAATTAGATTTTCTTTAGTGTGTTTTCACATTTGTGTGATGAATGAGTTGTGCTATTTAGAATATTTATTCTATGTTTTATTTGTATATTATTCTTAATATTTTATATTATTGTTGCTCTCTGCTCTTGTTACATTTTTTATATATCTGATTGTATATATTTTGGCACATTTATGTATATAGTGTATATTTATTTAAGTTCTGATAACTTATACTGTCATATTTTGTGCAGAATTGTGTTCATTGTCTTTTGGCAATGTTGGAGATGGAGATTGTGCACCTTAAAAAGTGTGTTTCCTGTTGTAATTACAATAGTTAAATAACTGGATTCTCTTAAGTGTGTTTTTCAAATGTTCTAATGAAGGAATTGTGTGTGTGTGGGGGGGGGGGGGGGGGGGGCGCGGGGGGGGGGTCTCGCCCAGGGTGTAATTCAATGTAGAACCGCCACTGGTTATACCTACCTTGTGATAGCTAGAATAAATTGTAATGAATGCCTATTGTATATTTTCAGATTTTTCTTGCATTAAGACATTAAAAATAGTAAATTATAGGAAAACAAAAATATAAAAAATTGCTTAGCTACATTTTACTGCTAATGCCACTATTTTGACTGTTTACGAATGTGGTATAAGTCGGAGCTATCAGAAAATTCTAAATTGTCACAAATTGTAATTATGAGTTCTACAGGGACATGGATGCTTTTTAGAAGTCAGAATCCCAGTGAGAATAATTATGATCATTTTGACATGGCGTGAATACACAGAGTACTGCACAGTTAGCTTAGCAACATGCTAATGTGAAACTCTAATTATATAAACAATGAGTTGAGTCTCCTGAATGATAATTGTGTGTTAAGTAAACTTGCTGGCTCTAAAGAGTGTTCCAAATCTGTCACTTATTAAGATGCTGTCTAGGCAGTAGGAAGTGAGGCAACTCACTAGATTAGCTACTCCTTAGAATTCCTATAGCAAACCAAAGCTTTTGGAAGAGAGGCCTGTAATTTTCATCATAGGTATACCTCAACTATGAGAGACAAAAAGAGAAAAAAAATCCAGAAAATCACATTGTTTTAAAGAATTAATTGGTAAATTCCTCGGTAAAATAAGTATTTGGTCACCTACAAACAAGCAAGATTTCTGGCTCTATATATATATATATATATATATATATACACATACATACATACAGGTGGTGTTCTGAAATGAGGAGTTTTTACATTTAAAATTTTTTATTTTTTTTTAAAATCAAATGTAAATTCCTGTCTCGGTCACAGGTTCCTGGTTAAATAAACATTACTTACACTACCAGAAAACAACAACAACAAATGCAATTCTATTTTATATTTTTACATTAACAATGTAATCAATATTCTGTTTATTAAAGCCAAGTATGAATCTCATCAAGTTATTAAGCATTTTACATTTATTCCAAAATAATAACTCAAGGCAGTAACAATTTAAACAAAAAATTTTATTTGTGAACTTATGTTCAACTATTCTTTTTAATAGTTAACTTTTAACTATTTTTGAATTATTCGGTTCATCAGTCATCAAAGCTCAGTAAATATTGGTCACAGACACAGAAATTTACTTTAAATTTCAACAAGCTGATTTACTCACTAAAAACTCCCACAGATCATGTTTTCAGACCATTTCAAGTCTTATTTTGACGTAATAAAGTGATTACAGCTAAGTGTGTGAGTTTTTTACTTACTTTTTTAAATGAGTCTTCCCATTAATGCCATTATATTGTTCATTCAGACTGATTCGCGAATGTAGAACGCACATGAACACAATAGGCGGGATTTATCGCATGAACCAATCACATCTGAAAATAACCAGCCATATCCAATCATATCGTGATGGAGGCATTGCCTCCTCTCACATGATTTCCCCCATTCATTCTCAAGTTCCCCCCCACTGCACGCTTTAGTTGGTCTGTAAAACTCAATGGGCTCAGGGGAGGCAAGAGAGACTCGGACTCCCGCTGTAACTTTACCTGCTGGTGTCGCTGTTGTACAATGTTTCTTTAGAAAAACAAGTGATTTATACACCTTTTAATGTTATATTTTGTAATATTGGCATTGTTTTATTTTTGTACTACTAATTTTTTCTTATCCAATATTTTGAAGATATATATACACAGTACATACACAATTCAGTTTTTCTCTGCTTTGCACACAAAGTTCAATAAAATTACGTTTGAAGAAATATATTTTTTTAGCTATGTAATATATATAATGTATTACATTATGCATGATCAAATATAAAGATTTCACAGTGATTTGATTCTATAAAGTTGAATACTAGATAAAAAAATTAGTTAGCTAGAATACATGCATATTAACAGCGTAAACATGAATTAGCCATGCAACCATATAATATGATTAAATGTTAATAAATTAAGTATATCAGCAATCATACATTTCTTAGAAATATATTTTACCTAGGTGACGAGGATCACTCAGTCGCTTTATGTCAAACTCAAATGCAGTTACAGGGTTTTTGACCAGTGAATGTGTGCAAATGTGCATTTCGTTCCGTCATTAAAACGGCGGTGTTACGTTTTCATCACCAGGTGTTTGTTGTAGCTATATGGGCGAGGCGCTCAGTTTCAAATACATAAATTATGAGCCTTTATAGACATAGTGTTTCTTGCGTAAAGAAAACGCTGTACTTATTCAAACAACAAGATCTTTATTTACCCTCGCAGACCTAGTTCAGCTGCTGTGGAACTTCAGTTCATTCGGTCAAGATAGAGGGGGTGGAGTTATGAGGTTTTACTGACAGTTTGAGCGGATCCAACTAGATTTAGTCACAAGCTCTTTTTAACACCTTTCATTAGCTAAATATTTGTAAAGCAGACAGACAGATGTAAAGGGTGACCAATATCATTGATTTATTGAAGGGGGGAAAAAAACACCATCACCAAAAAAAGGGCACTTCGGAGTGTAAGGGCAAAAAGGGCATGTGCTCTGCACAGGTTGAGCCCTACCTGTGCACGTGCCTGCTGACATGACTGTTAATACACTTGATGGGTCTTGTCTAATCTAGTAATTGATGATATAAATAATGCCTCATTGAATGCGTCTCATGGTGATTTAGTGTGTAGTGAAAGACTACTTCAGAGAAACTTTCTCTCTAGAGACACTTTAGTGCGTTGTGCTTTATGTAGAGCTTTAATACCCCATCAAATCTGCTGATGCAGTATGTAGTAAAAGACTCTGAAGTGTATTGTATATAGCTGGAATTCAGGATAGCTCCCATTAGACCTGAGTTCAAATGCTCTTGAAATTCATAGAGTAAAAAGTCATTCTAAGATAAATGTACAGGTTGACTGTACGAAATACAGCACAGTCTAATAACTCTACCGACAGTACAACAGCTGGTTGTGTCACGCTTCACAGCTGCGTGGTTTACTTTAGACTGAGCTTAAGCTACCCACCTAAACTCCATTCCCACAGGTTTTTGCTGTCTATGTTAAGGAAACATTTTCAGCAACATGAATTTATATGTATTCAGTTTACATGACTTGACTGACACATAGCCCAGATCTGTCCTCAACTGAATTATAATGAGATCCTTCAAATACATGTATAACCGGCAGGTAGTTGGAAGCTCAAAGGCTTTCAAAATAAACTGCTTGTACTGTAGTTCCACTGGTTCCTGCACTGCAGTAATTTGTTATCTGAAACAAGGTTACTCTCAAATCCCTCAATAATTATGTAGCAAGTACTGTCAGTCAAATCCTTCCCTTAGAGATGCATAACAGTCTGCCTGTGCTGATTAATCTGACACTTTTTACTTGGGAAAAGTTTTTCTCTTTCTTCCTTTCTGTGAAGTAGTTATTTACTACTTGTATTGCCACAATAACAATACATTTTTCTGAAGGATAATTTCTGAATTTAACTCTTAAACATTTTACAAAACCGTATAATTTCTCATTATTTCAAACACAAGAAATTGAGATGCAAATTCACTATCAAATCATGCTTTTAGCAGATTTTTCTCATTGAAACTGTTCCCAAATTGCACTGGACTGATTAATTCGCAAATTGGGTTCATCTGATTGCAGCCCATCTAGAGTCAGATATTTAGGTTACACATAACGTCTCGGTTACGTATGGTAACCCTCGTTCCCTGAAGGAGGGAACGGAGGCGTCATGTCGGATGACTGACGAATTGGGATCTCACTTAGAGAGACCAATCTACTTCGAGTGTAAACTAAATGAGCCAATGCACATTGGCATGCGATTATTACATCCAGCTGCCATTGATCACAGTGTGAGTATAAGTAGGCAGCAGATGCAGCACATATTCAGGTTTTCGCTGAGGAGCCGAG